TCTGACCCAAAGTGAAGCCCCTGTACAGCTGCAGGTAGGCAGTGAAGAGTCGGGCCAGGCAGGTCAGCAGTTTGCCGCTGGTCTTTCCTCCGTACAGTTCGTAGCAGCAGTGGACCAGACCGTAGGCGGAGGAACCGTAGTGAGCCTTGTCCAGAACTCCAACCAGCAGCTCACCCTGACGGATCACCACCTGGACCACAGGAAGGAAACGGTCAGTGCTGACCTGACTGTTCCAAACAGTTCCAAACATGGAACGTCGTAGCCTACCTGGGATTCACACATGCTGTCGGGGTCGTATCCCGGAGCGGAGCGTGGAGGAACTTGGAGCCAGGCCTTGCTGGGGATTTTTGATTTTCCCACCAAATTAAGGGGCACGGCCTTCTCTGGGATCACATTTAAGAGGAGCGTGGACACCACCTGCAGGAAATCCCAAATCATTCAGAACAACTGGGTTCTTACAGTTCAAACCCTTGGCATGCGGCCCACTTCTGGCCCGTGATGGCAGTCAACGATAAGGAAATATTAATAATTATATTTCTGAGTTTTTAATTATAGAGATGCTCTGGTTGGCTGTCTGCACAGTAGTACTATACAGTACTATAGTATTACTTCACTCACCTGTTTCCCCGTCCAGAGCTGCTGAGGTCGCAGTACAGCAGGGGGCAGCAGTTTGACTCGGCCGGGTTTGTCGGTCAGGCCCCTGTACACCAGCTCCGTGTACTGGTCTCTGGTGAAGAAACAGCCTCGGATCGTCATCCTGGTCCCCGACACCATGTGGTCCTGGATCAGACCTGCCAAAGGTTTACCGTCCTGCAGGGACAGGTCAAAGGTCATAGAAGGAGAGAGCTACACCAGGTGCAGCTGTGTCTGGGTCGGTACCAGGTACTTTGTTCTTGGTGTTTTCAGGATGGACTTTGGTCAAAATTGATGTGAAAAGTGTTTGGGAATTTTGGGATAAAATCGTTTCAGCGTTTGACCTTCTCCTTGAGGTCAACATAATGGCAGGTCAGGTCATGTGACGGCATGTGAAGTGAAGCCACACCCACCTTGGGGACCAGGTACTGCTGGTCGGTGCTGACCAGGGTGTAGGCCTCCGCTCGGCCCAGCTCGCTCTGAGGGAAGTGAGCGTTCATCTCGTCTCCGTCAAAGTCGGCGTTGTAGGCCTTACAGTTGGCGTAGTGAAGCCGCAGAACCTGGGACACAGGAGTCAGAACCCATCAGTGAATGGGATCTACAGGGACACTGAGGTGGGGGGTGAGGGGGGGGGGTGAAGTGTCACCTTCTCTCCGGGGAGGATGCGGGCGCAGTGGGCCTGGATGGAGGGTCTGTGCAGGGTTGGCTGTCGGGTCAGCAGCAGAACGCCTCCGTCTT